GAATATGAAAGAATGCAGTGTCAATTTGGTATTGGGTTTTTGCATGTTTTTACGTTATGCCCCAAATTCAAACACCGTGTGCATCGTTGCTTTCTACGCCTATGGCCTATTTGAAATTCACCGACAGATGGAAGTCTCCTCTTCTTTGGTCTACCCGGGGGACGCTTGTTACAAGATGGAGGTTTGAAAATCACTGATGCAACATCCGGCGGAACACTCCAGGAAGATTTATGATGACGTTGCCTGTCTGTGATCGCCTTCTCGAAAATCAACAGGGCAAGTATGGATTGAGTCAAACCTATAAAACAGAAAATGAAGGCAACAGGAATGATTAAAAAAGGTTAGGTGCTTGTCCCAAAAGTGATGATAGTACAAAGTTTAGCTTAATCTATTAATTAAAACTATAAATACCATATAAGAGAACAAAAAACGTGTTTCTTATTTTACATTTTTAGGTGAAAAAGCAATAGGATAACTAGTTAATACAAGTGGTAAGAAAAAATTTCTGAGCAATGGTTTCCAATCATCATCAAGAAGCTTAATCATACCAAAAGTTCACAAAACCATTGCTTAGAAACTATCGTATATGCTGATCACACTGCAATGCCTAATTTAAGCCAAAGTTTTAGGTACACTGCCACAGCTTGATTATTTCAAATACACTGCCTAATTTACATATGCCACTAAGTTAAACATTCTCTACGAAGAAAAATAGAAAATAAATAAAACAAAAAAATGCAAGACAACATCTAGGCATTTAACCTTCACACTGCCCACACCATAGCACCTAATCTTGACAGTGCCAAAATCACACTGCCAAAAACACAATGTCTTTCAAGAGACCTAATTTTTCAAAAGGGACAAATACTAGGTATTTCAAAATTGATTTCACAACACCTAATCTTTAGTACGAAGAAAACACAATAATTAAAACTAAAAATACATGGAAATCCGAATAAAGGGGTGAAGGATAGAAAATATGAAAATTAAAAATTGAAGGAGAAGAGAAAATGATTAGCCACATCGGTGAAGGAATCCGAGATAACCTGATGATTGCCGCTGCTGATCGGGGCAGGGAGAAGGCCTGAGGATGCATGATCAGGTGCGTCGATGAAGAGTACGTGCGCGAGAGGGAGTGGCGTAATTTTTTAAGGAAAAAGGTTAAAAGGGTATGATAGTAAAGGATTGACACAAAAAAGTGCTAGATTTGTTTAAAAAAATAAGTAGTGCTAGATGCGTAATTTAGGGTGAGTTAGAGTGTTATGGAAGGTGATTTCTTTATTTTTAATGTTTTATTCCTATTTTATTCTTTTTCTCGTCGATTTACTTATTTTCATAAAAGAATGACCAAATTCACCTCCTAAATCTACTCTCTAGATTACAAATGCGGAGTATTAACTATATAAAAAAAAAAAGGACTGGATATAACAAATTTGGATGAGGTAAAACTCGATATATACTACTCCCCTTGTCCCAATTTTTATTGCTTGTTTCGGGTTACAATGTTTGACTAAAATTATTTAAAATTATTTTATGTGAAAAAGGATACGGAATTAAAAATTAAAAATTATATATTAAATTACCACATCAAAAGATCTACAAGACTAATAGTCAAATGACTATTATTTTATCAAATGACTAAACAAAATAGAAAATAAAGTGAATGGAATTTGACCATGCAAATAATAAACATGTAATTACGCAAAACAAAACAAAATTTCAATTTTTTTAAATTTATTTTATTTAAAGGTTGTATAGAAATTGAAAATAAAATTTACATTTTTAAAAACTATGTCAATTTTTTTTAAAACTCGAAATGGAAAGAATATTTTATTTTATAAAATAATCAATGAAAACATACAAATAAACAAAAGTTCCCGTAACATAATTAATTGTGGCATTCTTCTCGGGAGGTGGAAGTATGTTGCACCTGCTAAAGATGTTTTGCACAGAGGTTCCATTGGAACTGCGGGAAAGCGCTTGGCCACTCTTTGTCTTCTTCGCACGTCAATGAATCTCAGACCAACCCCAAACAGGAACAGTTTCTGGACATGAATCTCTTGAGATCAGATGCTCCTTAAGTGTATGTAAACACAATAGTTATAAGTTATTTGCATTGTTACCCATAAGATACTGATAAAAACTACTGGATGGAGATTGTTACATTCATTTATACATTAAAGGATAAATGAATGTAACAATGTGTTAAGAGAAGATGAGATTTCAAGGAATCCCTCCCCCAATTTCAGCTATTTAAGAATTAGGGAGAATCATGTAGTTGATAACTTCTAATAACCAAAATCTATTGTGTAGAATAAAAAACTAATGCTACTCAGAAGCCCAAACAAATACAACCTCAACTCATTCTAATTGAATATGAGTATCAGTAATGCAGAATAAGCGAAAAAGAAATGAAACCAATTTAAAGCTTGATAGGGAAGTCATTAGATTTTCCAAACAAAAACTAAGCAAATTGCTTTATGCTTACCAGTAATAAGAAAACACAGTACCCCCTTTAGCTCAAATGACTCGAAATTTTGTTTGAACAAGGAAACCATTACAGCACAATTTTACCCAAAAACAAGCACGGAGCGCAGGAAATAAGAACAAATTCAAAAGCATGGTTCATACCCTCTCTATGGTCACAGGAAAAATCTTCTACGACTGGTATCCATCTCTGGCTTATGAACCCATTCATATTCCCCACTCTTTGTGTCAAAGGTGCCATGCTGCAGGCTGCGCAATTTCAATGTAAAACGAGGACCACATTCCTGAAGACGCGCCACAACTCTTTCTTTCAGCTGGGGCTTCGCCTCCCCATCTTCTTCACCTTTGCCCTTTTTCCCTTCTTGTGACGCCGGCTTCACTTTCTTTGCCTCAAATATGTACCGGTGATGGCGGAAGAAAATGAAGTCGCGCTGGTTGTGAAATGTCACAACCCTACGGCCCCGAAAATTGGGATTCTGTGGAAAGAGAGATTGTATCATCCTCCCAATGCGATGCCCCAATCGAGTGGTGAAGTTGTTCAAAACTAGCTCAGGTACATGACTGGTAGGATTCCCATGATTCTTGATGTCCTTTCGGAGGACAAGCCTGGTGAGCTTGAAATGAGCAGTGGGTCCATCAGGTAACCCGATAATGAGCAGACCATCAGGTTCCCAGCGATTGGTGTGCACCACAACGATGGATGTGAAGTCTCTGGCTTTCCCATATTCCACAATCTTCTTCAGATCATAGGTCCCTCGCTTGTAATAGTGAGCGTTGGGAATGATAGAGAGCAACTCAGAGATGAACGCAGGTCCTCTTATGGATTTGAATCGGGAGGTCGTGATCAGTACCTTAGGGTTTAGGTCCTGCTTGAGGACCCCGCTGAATTCATCCACATCGTTGCTCGCGAAGAGCTCTTCATCGTCGGGTTTGCACACAGTCTCATCAGCCTCCCTGGTGTTCTCTATCGTCCGGGGGATCTGCTTTGGCGGAGGATCTTCGCCGAGCTCCAGGGCCCGTTTTTCAGCATCTTCGCGAGCTTTGGATTTCTTGCGCTTCTCTGCCTTCTTCTCGCGTTTGAGCTTTGCGTGGACGGCGGATCTCTTCTCCTTGTTCTTGATCATTGAAGGCCGGAAAGACTCCTTCGGATCCTCTCCGTCGTCGCCGCCATCTCTCTCCCTCCGCTTGTGCCCCATTCCACTCGAATTCACCAAAATTAGGGTTTTACTAACGGCTCCTATTATATACCAGCCACTAACCCGATCACAGACCTGCATATCCGGCCAGCCCGCCAGAGCGCGCCCGTAAAATCACGGGCTCGGGTTTGATATTTCAAGAACGGGTCGGACCCGGCCTTTTTAAATGGGAGGCGCCCATACTTTGTCATATTTAGTAAAAGGACTATTTGTGTAATAGTTTTTTAAAAATTGAAGACTATTTATGAAATATATTATAATTGAAAAATAAATATAGAAAACTACATATAATTAGGGATCATTTATAAAATATACTCTAAAATAGTTGATGAGTTTTTTAAATTTTTACAAAAAAGGAGAGAAATCGGTATTGAGTCGGGTATATGTTGTCTTTTGTAGGGTATAATTGATCAAAAATCACTTAAAATAATACAAAAAAACATGTCTCAATCGAATAATGAATAAAAACAACACCAGTATGGCGATATGAGGATAATCATTTAAAAATGAACTTTAGATTCTAGATGATTATTACATCATTTACTAAAAAAAAGTAATGGACGAATAAACTTTTGCGACATTTCTTACTCTATAGTTGTTAATTGATTGAAGAATAAGTATTTTCATTGAATAAATTGTGAGGAGAGTACATGTATATATACACAAGTCTCAATCATAATTAAAGTAGGAGAGACACAATAGGAAACCTATACAAATATGGTAACAATAATAATACAATAATATTAAATATAATATATATATTTAACATGCTCCCGGCTACGTCGGCAGTGCTGGGGTCGGATACCCAGGCTTTCTCTGAAGTCAAGAAATAATTGTGAGGGCAGTCCCTTTGTGAAGATATCAGCAAACTGAGAAGAGGACGGAACATGCAGGACTCTGATCTGACCGAGCGCCACCTTATCACGCACAAAGTGTATGTCAACCTCGACGTGCTTGGTGCGCTGATGCTGCACCGGGTTTGACGAAAGGTAGACCGCACTGACATTATCATAAAAGACAAGTGTGGCGCGACGGAGTGGCTGCTGGAGCTCAAGGAGGAGGTTTCGGATCCAGCTGGTTTCTGCAACAGCATTCGCTACAGCCCGGTATTCGGCCTCGGCACTGGAGCGAGAAGTAGTGGCCTGGCGCTTAGACGACCATGAGACAAGGTTGTCGCCGAGGAAAACGCAGTAGCCCGAAGTGGAACGTCTGGTGTCAGGACAGCCAGCCCAATCGGCGTCTGAATAAGCCTGTAGGTAGTCGGTGGCGGATCGTGTCAAGTAAACGCCATGAGTGGCGGTGCCACTGAGATACCGGAGAACACGCTTCATGGCTGTAAAGTGAGCGTCGTGGGGGGCATGGAGGTGGAGGCAGAGCTGCTGGACTGCATATGTGATATCAGGACGAGTGAATGTGAGGTACTGCAGCGCGCCAACAATGGATCGGTAAAGTGAGGGGTCGGAGAGCGCCGTACCAGCTGACGCAGATAGCTTTGCCTTTGTATCCACCGGGGTTGAGATGGGCCGACAAGAAACCATCCCTTCCCTCTCAAGGATGTCGTGCGTGAACTGAGTCTGGTGGAGGAACAAGCCAGAAGCTGTGCGGTGAACATTGATCCCGAGGAAAAAGTGCAGATCGCCCATATCAGTCATGGAGAACTCAGCCTTGAGCTGCTGAATGAGACTCTGTAGAAGTGCTGGAGAGGATGCTGTGAGAACTATATCATCCACATAAAGTAGTAGATAGGCCGTGCCCATGGGCTGAGAGAAGACAAAGAGAGAAGTGTCGGCCTTACATCCTCTAAAGCCAATAGTCTGTATGAAGCCAGCAAACCTGTGAAACCATGATCGGGGTGCTTGCTTGAGACCATATAGAGCCTTCTTGAGCTTGCACACATAGTGAGGGCGAGTGGGATCCTGAAACCCAGAAGGCTGACAGGCATAGACGGTCTCCTGTA